CGCTCATTATCCCACAGCTCCACCACCTGGTCCAGTCAGTACTTAAGTTCACTCATTCCTCTCAGTCTGGGCCAGATTCTCTATCCTGTCTCATCAGCAGTAGACTTTCCAGCATTCCATTGATTGACTCATCACGTTCATGACCCTTGCCTTGACCACGACCACGCTTTTGCCTCAGCCCTCGTCTGCTTTTGCTCATCTGATCAGGTACCGACTCATGCTCTTGTTTTTTGACTCTCTTTTTGGATCACGTACTGGATACTTCTGCTGAACAACTGACTTCACGGTATGAACTCTGCCTTTCCCTTCTGACTGTTTTTTGGATCACGGATTAAAGGTCAAGCTCATTCTGTATCACGGACTTATCCTTATCCCTGAATCTGATTCCCACAGATTCATTTCCCCAATTAGTCTCTTTCCCCCTGCATCTACTAACCTTTATCTTTTAGTTGCAGGCCTGTTGGACTCCGTTCCAGTGGACCTTAACATCAGTTCTACTTCTACTGGCAGCCCGCCACTACAACACTACCCAATCACGAACTACCAATCAGAAGATCGGAACCAGCCCAGAACCGGACCTACTCCAGGGTTTTACTTTATTTCACAATAAATCTTTTAACCCTCTCAGTGGTTGTTGTTGTTGTTTGCGATCCGGCCTCTGGTTCATGACAGTAGAATCTGGCCATTATGGATCCAACACCAACCCGAGAGTGGTGCTCTAAGGTAGAAGGGGCTGTTAGTAAACTTGAGAAAGGGCTTCAGGAAATGGTTGTTTTTCTTCAAGCTTTGTCCCAACAGTCAAACCAAGTCATCAACCAAACCCTGTTGACTCCTGCACCAAGAGAACCACGGTTAGCCCCCCCTGAACATTTCAGAGGTGAGCCTGAGCAATGTCGACCATTTTTGACTCAGTGTGACATTCAATTTCAATTGCAACCTTCATGTTTTCCCACTGAGCATGCTAAAGTAGCTTATGCTGTCTCACTTCTCGCTGGAAGAGCCAAGAAGGGGGGGCACTTCTGAATGGTTAAAGGTGGCGTGGTATGTCGTAATTTTTCTGAATTTTCCAAAGAGTTGTGTCGGGTTTTTGACCCCATCCTCCCTGAGAGAGAGGCAGCCCGAAGAATTTTTGATATTAAACAAGGCAAGGATTCTGTAACCAAATACATCATTCACTTTCACTCTGTTTCAGCAGACAGTCATTGGGATGAACACGCACTCACTGACGCCTTCTTCAGGGGGCTTAATGAAGATGTTAAGGATGTGCTGGCAACAATGGACTATCCCTCATCCCTACGCCAGCTGGAGGAGGTGGCCACCCGTGTTGACCTTCGCCTGCGTGAGCGTGAGCGTGACCGTGAACAGAGTCGAGGCAAGGCCACAGCCATGTCCAGAACCAGACATCACCTTGTGGATCATGAACCTAAAACGGAACAAACCAAGAGCCCTCAGGATCCTCTGTATGCTACGGAACCCATGCAACTAGGAAGAAGTCGTCTGACCACCCAGGAACGAGAACGTCGGAGGAGGTACCATCTCTGTTTTTATTGTGGTCAAGGCGGTCATGATTGTCATCATTGTCCAGTTAAAAGACCAGGCTCAGCAGGAGAAGAGAGGCTCCTGTTGAGTCTTAGTCATAAGATCAAGTCCTCTTCACCTATCATGTCCAAGTCCAAGGTCAAGTTCATAATAAAGGGTGGTCAACCCGTCATCGTCTCAGCTTTTATTGATTCAGGGGCCGACACGGAATTCATTGATAAAACCTTTGCCAAATCCATAGATCTGACCATTGTTCCATCACCTAACAACCATAAGGTCCTCGCTTTAGATGGTCATCCTTTAAGTCAATCTAGTCTTGAAACTGTTCCAGTCACCATGGTGTCGGCCAACAACCATTCGGAACTGATCAGATTCATTGTTATTGATTCACCCCAACTCCCAGTGGTTTTAGGTTCCACTTGGTTACGCAAACACAACCCCCAAATCGATTGGAGGAACCAAGAGATTGTAGGATGGGCTAATGAGTGTTATTCTACATGTATTCAGAGCCAACCCAGTTCACCAGCCCTTGTCACAGCCAATGAGGAGACCTATCCTAATCTAAGTCAGGTACCTAAAGAGTACCATGATTTGAAAGAGGTCTTTAATAAATCAAAAGCTACGTCCCTTCCGCCACATCGTCCATACGATTGTGGTATTGACCTGATCCCAGGTTCTACCCCCCCTCGGGGTAGATTATATTCTTTGTCTGGTCCCGAGCAAGAGTCCATGAGGAAATATATAACAGAGTCCCTCCAAGCTGGTATCATTAGACCTTCAGCATCCCCCGCTGGTGCAGGTTTTTTCTTTGTAGGGAAGAAAGATGGGTCACTTCGTCCATGCATTGACTATAGAGAACTTAACAAAATAACCATAAAGAACAAGTATCCTCTGCCCCTCATGAACTCTGCTTTTGATATAATCCAAAATGCTAAGATATTCACCAAACTGGATCTTCGCAACGCTTACCATTTGGTCAGGATACGGCGGGGAGATGAATGGAAGACGGCCTTTAATACCGCAGATGGCCATTATGAATATCTTGTTATGCCATTCGGCCTCACCAACGCTCCTGCCGTTTTCCAAGCCCTGGTTAATGATGTCCTTCGTGACATGATAAACATTTACGCTTTTGTTTACCTTGATGACATACTTATCTTTTCACAAGATAGCATTTCTCACCGTCGCCATGTCAGAGCTGTCTTAACCCGCCTTTTACAGAACAACTTGTTTGTCAAGGCAGAGAAGTGTGCTTTCCACCAAGTGTCCACCTCATTCCTTGGGTTCAACATTTCTCCAGGTCAAGTATCCATGGAACCCGGGAAGGTATCAGCGGTGGTGGATTGGCCCAAGCCCAAGGATCGTAAACAGCTGCAAAGGTTTCTCGGTTTTGCAAATTTTTATAGGAGGTTCATTAAGAACTACAGTTCAGTTGCAGCTCCTCTTCATTTTCTCACCTCATCTAAGACCAAGTTCATCTGGGACTCCGTTGCCAACCAATCATTCCAGAAGCTCAAAACATTGTTTTCCTCTGCTCCAATCTTGCACTCTCCAGACCCCGAGAAACAATTCATTGTGGAGGTCGATGCATCCAGCACCGGGGTGGGCGCCATCCTCAGTCAGCGCAGCACAGATGGTAAGATCCACCCCTGTGCTTACTTCTCCAGGGCACTCTCCCCCGCTGAGAGAAACTACGACGTGGGAGACAGTGAGCTTTTGGTAGTCAAAATGGCCCTGGAGGAATGGAGCAAGTACACCTCGCTGCAGCCCGCAGAAAGGGGCGGGGACGGACCACTGTCAGTCCATACCCTTATTTGGAGAAAGGGGCGGACAACATCTTCATTTCTGCCACTTCCATATTATGACAATCTTTAAACATTTTATTTGCAGATTTTTCAACTATTTCCATTACTTCTTCTTTAGTAACTCCATTTAGAAACAAACTGTTAGCACAGCCAGATTAAGTAATTAACATTGTTGTCCACTTTAGGAATTGAAGTTGTCAAATTTGATCCAACAGTTACAAAAAAAATATTAAAACCATTTGCAATACCCATATCGTCATGAATTTCAACATTATTTTCCACAAAACATTGAGATAGTCCCTCATTACCCTTGTGTTTACATATAGCATAAACACCCTAATTTGGAAATGGTAGTCCGTCGTGTGGGGATTCATTTAAAACGTTAAACAACCTGGACACACTCAGAGAGAAAGTAGGTTTTAGAATTTTTACTTGACAAGAAATGATCCAATTACCCTTTATAAAGTTCAATACAGAAACAACTGGACTTTATTTGTAACATAAAGACGTTTCGCTCTTAAAGTCCAGTGTTTCTGTATTGAACTTTTTATTTTATCATGTCCTGGATGACTAAGAATCTTCACCAGCATACTCTTCATAAAGTCCGGCTTGATGTGAACAGCTGCTCCTCACCTGTGTTTCCATCACCTCCACCCAGTCTCCACCGTCGCTGAGCATACCTTTAATTTTTGTATTTGTTTGTATTAGGGCATGTTTGTAACTGAACAACATGTTCTGTATGTGGTTGCTTTATTCAAAAAACAACTATTGATTCTTATTGTCAAAACATAAACAACCTAGCCGTATACTGTATAAGGTTTGTAAAGAAAATTTTTATTGATTCCAGTCATTTCTCCAAAAGTATATGAAACATTGTATGTACACATATAAAATACTGAAAGTTATTAAGTGTGCTTGCATGTCACATTTTAAAAAGTAGGTTATGAAATTGTTAAACAATGCTGTTACAATATATGTACAACTACTTTTTTGTTTCTACTTTCTCTTTACTATATTACAGCCACAATGTAACTTTGCCTGGAAACAACATTTCTACAAAAAACTAAAAAATGTAAATCAACTGAACTACAACAAAAGGAACACTCAAAAATGTACATAATGTTTAAAGAACACATTGTGAAAAACAAAGGATGACTGAACAATTCAAAAGGCTAATGTACTTCAGCAGAACTGATTTAAAAAGAACAACGTGTGACAACTGAAATGTGTGAAAGACTGTGGAAAACAACTACTGGTACTATTCTCCTTGCATTCAGTACTGACATTCAGGGCAGTGTCCAGGTATGCCATCAGAGTAGTAACGAGGGTACTCTCCTCGTCTTCCATTTCCGGTGAAGCCCACACAGTCTTTATATTGCTGGTTGCAGGAAGAACACGTAACAACAGCAAAAGGAATCCGGTTTTCTGCCTTGAAGGAGTCTGAAAACTTTCCCCAGTTGATCTCACCTGTAAATGAATGATCGATTTCATGTAGTTGAATTCTAATTTCACATGTTTTATGTGAACAAAGTCAAAGGTCCTTACCATCCAGCCAAGCAAAGTGGGTCCTCTTCCTGAACACTGGGTCAGACACAATGGCTTTAAAGCACTTGCAGGTCAACGCCAATGTGAGGTAAGCTGCATCTCCCTGTGCTAGTATCACCTCTTGGAGAACATCTTCAAGTACATTTAAAGGCATCTGAAAATTAAAGAAAAACAGGTGCATTGCAAGACTATCACATCAGACGAATGGGTATGACGCATATGATTATGAATGAATCTTACCTGCAAATATTTATATTCATATCTGCAGGAATAAATGAGTAATATTACATTGTACATTATGATCAGTAAAACTGTACTTAATAGTAGCCATTTCACCAAATACTTTGTTACTCTTAATTGTGTTTCTTGCAGTTATTCACTACAAAAATATATTGAAGTAGAGGGTACACACCCACCTATGATGGCAGCTTGTAGTTTATAAAAAAAAGACTTTCCAGAAATGTTGGTGTACAAAAACATATAAAAAACAAAAACAACTTTACCTTTAATGATAAAAAAACCCCACTAGAAAACTGTTAAGAATGTAAATACATAAATAAACAAAATAAATAAATACATAAATTATAGTGTAAGTGTAGTTTCACATACCTTTATGTTGAACCGTAGCAGTTCTTGCTATATGGTTCAGTACCTTGTACGACTCATCGGCACTGTATGAGCAAAGGGGACAGCAATATTTATCGTTCAGGCAATACGGAAGGATCTTCTCTCCGTTCCGAATGTTGCAAATAGAAACGTGGATCTGTATAAAGAAAATAAAGTTTGTTATTTTATCTACTTTTCCATTTATATGTAATGGTGCCCCGAAGGAAAAAAATTAGCTATGCTACATGCTAAATTTAACCTTACCCAATATGAATTACGATTTTCAATAGTTTACAGCTGTTAATTACATGTTCAACCTCATCTAGAAAAGCGTGTTGATTTACTATGTGAAAAAAGTTTTAAGAAGGAAAAAATACCTTTTGCTGACTTTGTGCTTTTTCCATTGTGGATCGTGTGCCTAACACGTGGAAACTTGGAGAATACTGCACCTGCTTCTGTACGACTGATTAAGAAAATAGCGCCCCCTTCTTTTCCGGAGTGCAATAGTACCACTTCCAAATAAGGGTATGGACTGACAGTGGTCCGTCCCCGCCCCTTTCTGCGGGCTGCAGCGAGGACCTTCTCGAATGGAGGCACTGGCTGGAAGGTGCGAAGAAGTCCTTTTTGGTATGGACCGACCATAAAAACCTGGAGTACCTTCGCACAGCAAAGAGACTCAATCCCCGTCAGGCCAGGTGGGCTATGTTTTTCTCTCGGTTCAGTTTCACCCTCTCTTACAGACCCGGGCCCAAGAATGCCAAGCCGGATGCCCTGTCCCGGGTCTTTGAGGTCAAGGAAGGGCCCTCAGAAGAGGTCGAGTTCATCCTGCCTGAGACCGTACGTCTTTCTTTGACTCAATTAGAACTCGATCTCCAACAAGTCCAACTCTCCGAGCCACGTCCACCCACCTGTCCTAGGGGGCGCCTGTTTGTCCCCAATCAAAAGGTAAAAGAGGTTCTTGAATTATGCCATTCATCAAAGTTGTTCTGTCACCCAGGAATCACCAAGACCCTCCAACTCATTTGCACCCGATTCTGGTGGGCTACGCTTACGGAGGACACCAAGCACTTTGTCAAGTCATGTCCCGAATGCAATCGTGCCAAGTCTTCCAATCGCCCACCTGCCGGGCTGCTACGACCACTGCCAATTCCTTCACGCCCATGGTCACATATTGCTATGGACTTTGTGACTGGATTACCCCCTTCTGAAGGTAATTCAGTGTTATTGACCATTGTGGACCGTTTTTCTAAAATGGTCCACCTGGTTCCTCTCCCCAAGTTACCTTCTTCCAAGGAGCTCAGCGTTATCATGGCCAAGGAGGTTTTCAGGCTCCATGGGCTCCTCCAGAACATTGTGTCTGACCGAGGTCCCCAATTCATTTCCAAGTTCTGGAGGGAGTTTTGCAACCTGCTAGGGATCTCGGTCAGCCTCTCGTCAGGTTTTCATCCCCAAACGGATGGACAATCTGAGCGTACCAACCAGGAGGTGGAGACCAAGCTTCGGCTCCTCTGCGAGGGGGACCCGAGGAAATGGACGTCCAACCTCCCTTGGATTGAACAAGCAATCAACTCTCTTCCATCCTCTACATCAGGTATTTCACCCTTTCATGTTGTCTTTGGATTCCAACCCCCTGTTTTTTCAGTCCAGGGGAGAGAAGCTCGGGTTCCCTCTGCACGACTCGCAATTTTACGTTGCCAGCGAGTCTGGAGAAAAGCCAGGAGAGCCCTAATTTTGGCCACCAAAAGGTACGTTCGGGGGGCTAACCGCAGGAGAACGCCTCAACCATTGTACAAGGTGGGCCAGAAAGCGTGGCTCTCCACCAAGGACCTTCCTCTCCGTGTGGAATCTAAGAAACTAGCACCACGTTTCATTGGTCCTTTTCTGATTACCAAAATAATCAATCCTGTCTCTGTTCGCTTACAGTTACCCAGGTCCATGCGCATTCATCCAACGTTTCATGTCTCAAGACTCAAGCCATTTGTCCTGCCACGTTTTCGACCCACCACCGACCTCCCACCACCCGCCCGACTCATTCAGGGGAGCCCAGCCTACACGGTCCGACGCCTTCTTCGATCCAGAAGGTGGGGGAGAGGACTCCAGTATCTGGTAGACTGGCAGGGGTACGGCCTGGAGGAACGTTCCTGGGTGCCCTCACGCAATATTCTGGACAAAACCCTCATTAGAGACTTTCATCGACTGAACCCTCTCCAGCCTGGTGGTCCTTCAGGAGCCGGACCTTGAGGGGGGGTTTCTGTCATAGCTCTGCTCTCTGTCAGCTCCTCTGTCATGCTGCACACTC